GTTTTATACATATTACTTTATCACTTTACTCAATATTTAATTATTGTTTTATTTAAATGTTTAATTTAGCAGTTAAAATTTACAATGTGTCTTATCGTATAAATATTATTTCATAAAATGATTATGCCATTTCATGAAATGTGTGACGAGAGGAAATTGAATTAAAGAAAAGAAAATTGTGTGAAATGAAATGGAAAATGTATTTTGAAATGTGTGAAGTAATTAATGTTATTCTGTTGATTTTTCCAATGCTCAAAAAAAAATAATAAAAACGAAGTTTGAAAATAAAGGTTATATCTTTAAGACGACAGATAATTAAATAAAATTAATTAATAACTATAGCTATAAGAATTGTGTATAATTTTAATTAAGATAATTTAAAAGGTGATAGGATTCAATTAGACTGTATGATAAATCAATGAATTAATTATGATTTGAATAAAATCAAAATTTTTTTCAAAAATTTAAGTGTCCTTGTAAATGCAATAAAAAATGTTATATTGCTAATTTGGTCCAAAACGAAATCGCAAAATTTTCAGGAAAAAAAATTCATTCCTAAATGTAAATATTATTGTTAAATGGAATTTTCTCAGTTTCAATGTCTGAATGATTTAGTTTTGTGGTGAAATTTGAAAATCCTTTAGTAAATTTAGAAAGTAAAATTGCCTCTTTCTACTAATGAATGAGTAAAAATTGAAATTAATGAAATTTTGCTATTCTTTGAATTATTGTTTGGGTTGAAAAATTCAATTTGTTATATGTTTATAGTTTATAAGTTAATGATAAATAATAGTTCAATTATTGGTTTATACTCAATTTAAATACCTTTACCGATTGATTCCAAATAATTTTACAAAATTTGAAAAAAAGAAGTAAATTCGGAAAAAATCAAATAATCATGTAACTCTGAAAAAAAAAACAATGAGAGCTGAAGCAATTAAAAGAAAATATTTTGAATATTTCAATTAGAATTGAAGAATAGTTATTGTCCAATTTTTTCTTTTTTTATTTTTAATCTTGTTAGTACAAAATTTATTTTTAATTTTAACACTATAAAAATAAAGAGTGAAAAATTTTGCCCTTAAAGCAGTTAGTAAGAAGAAACACATAAAACACTTTAACTAATTAAAAACAAATGACAATTGGAATTAAATACAGTTCCAACATTACTATGTCACATTTCTGGTTCTTTTAAGTAACGATTTCTTCCGTACTTTTCTCATTTCAACAAACAATGCTTTTTTAAATTCTTTTCAATGAGGAAAAAAGCGAACATTTTTTGGTTTAAAATTTGTGAATGTAAAAGAAAAACATTTTTGTTTTGTTTTGCTTTCATTCATTCATTTCTGATTGATTGAATGCGCATTTATTACGCCATGAATTTTTACTTTTTTTTTTTGAAAAAATTTTTCAAACTAATATTTGTTCCCATCTTTGAGTAAGTAAATGAACGTTTTTTTTTTGAAGTTATTCTTCATTTATTATATTTTTAGAGAGAAATCAAAGGAATAAATACCTGTTTGTTCATTTATTTATTTATTTTTTCATTCCTTTAGTTAAGTTCGAAAAAGGACAAAAAAAATTGTTTGACGAAAGTTTAATTATGGCATTTGGCAAACTGGTGCCCTGATCAATTTTCAATTAATTCCTAAAATTATTAAACATTATTTTATTATAATTTTAAGTTGATACCTTAAAGTTAACTTTTAGGAGAATTTATTTTTTGCTTTAAATTTATTCCCACCCTCTTTTTTGAGGATTAAATAGAAAATGAATCACGTTAAATTTAGTTAATTGTGCAGTCTCGTTTTCCTTTTTACATAAAACTGATTTTATTGACTGTTTAATCAATTTTCAGGAAAATATGTAAATTGAAATGGATAAGTGTTATTAGCAAAATAGGAAATTAAATCGTAAAAAATTTCATTTGTTATCAAATGATAGTAGTAAACAAAAGTGAAAAAATGAAATGATACAATAAATAAAATGAAATAACCAAATAGGAATGATAATATCAGAAAATATTTTAAATAAAAATGAATTAACAGTGATTCCAAGTAAAAAGAAAAAACGGCGGTTATTTATAACGTAACGTAAGAATGTTGTTGAAGAAAAAAAAATACAAAAACAAATTAATTAATGTTTTTCCTATCACTGCGTCTTTTTTTCGGCTCTCCATGCCTTAACAAATAAGACAGGTAAAGTAAAATAAATTTAAGGAAACTGACAAGTAAAATGATGAATAATTCATGGTGGAAAAAGAGGGCGAAAACGAGGTGGAAAATTTTTTAAAAATTCTTTCAAGCAGCGCCAACTTTTTTTCTTCTCAGGAAATGAAATTTCAGTTTATTAAGATAAATCACAATTAAGATTAAATACGGTGAATTTGTAGGATGCACAAAAGTGAAACCTGTTTTTAATCTTTTTATTTGTAACTGAAATGAACTCAATACACGACTTTGTATTTAATTTTTTTTAAAAAAAAAGTAATTTCTTCTAGGTCAAATATTTTAAACAGTAGAAAAAAATTTGATGCAGAAATGCGAAAAAAAGCAAATACTATCTGCAATATTTATAATGGTAAAATTTTAAAAGTTTCAATTTTAATCCAATTTAATCAAATGTTTAAGAAATGGATGGTTTATTTGTAGATTATTGATCGGAATTTCACAAAATTCCTGATCTATAATCTATAATTATTGCAACATAATGAATAAATGATATTTGTAATATTGGATGAGTGTTAATCACGATAAAATCAATAAATATAGATTAAGATTGTGTTAGATGATTGGCATGAAAGAAAAGAGTAAGTTCAGGTGTTTCTTGATTTCTAATTCATGCCAGGCCTTCTTCACTCTTGAGCTGATCTCTCCTAATTGATAACCGATCTTGTTCGCTATAACAGTCATATATCACTTAACATGTAAATAATAAATTTCATTGATAATACTAAAAATAAAAATGTTGAAAATGTTAGCTTAGTGTTAGCTGTTACCTTATGTATAATTAATTTCCCGTCATTAATTTCCCATACACTACGCAAATATTTTGGAGTAATTTTTGTTAACAAAAAAATTTAGCGTTTTATAACAATTAAATGTTATAAAATATTACTTCATTAATTAGATAACAAATTTTTCAAAAGAAAAATGCTAAAACAAAAATATTCATCGTTTGTTTCTATTATAAATTTGATCTCTCTATGATATAATTAATTTACACCTGTAAAATTACAATTAGGAAATTATAAAAAGGATAAATTTTATTCATCACAATTCAATTAATATAATTTCAGAAAATTTAGTCAAAAATGGATGGACAAAAAAAAAAGGGAACTAAACAACTTTGAGAGTGCAACTGATCTTCTTTTATTGGTTTTAAACTTGACATTAACAAAAATGCCATTTACTTAATTGTAATAACGTTTCTCCTTCTCATACAATGTTCAACAACAATATGACCCTTTATTTCAGCGATTAACGAATTTGTAATCAGCAATTGAAATCATTCATTTTCTCTTTAAGATGTAAAAGAAAAAAAAAAGGAAGAAAAATTGAGTGCATGTTCGACCTAAATGGTTGCTAAAAAGATGGGAATTTAAGGAATGAGAAAAAAAAGGTCAGAAAACTTCACAAAGTTTTTTAAAATCCATTGAGCTCTTAAAAAAACTCAATTGTTGCATTTTCATACGACGGACTCGAATAGTTTATAATTTAATGAGAATTATCAAAATTGTTGTGTTAAAGTAGAAAAAAAAAGGTTACAACGATTGGATGAAGTTTGCAAAACACAAAACACTATGTTTTGTATTTTGAAATTTTCAAACCGCAACCTCAGTTATTATACAATTTATTTCTATCAAAGAGATTTAAAATCCGCCACAACTTTTTTTCGAATTATGCAATGATCATTCGACCCTTCATGGAATTTATAAATTACATATTTCAATATCTCTTCATGCTATAAATCGTATAATTAAACCAGTTTTCCCGAATCCACGAACTGCTTTGAAATGTCAAGAAAAATTAGCTAACATGTACAAATCTTACTTAAAATGGTTCAGGAGCATCTATTCCACATTTTAAAAGCGATTCATCCTTCCATACTTGTATCCTCAAACATTTTGAAAATTACACATCCAATAATCTCTATGGTTATTTTATTTTTGAATAAAAAAATCGGAGTACAAATTTAAACTATTTCAAACAACAATTCATGAAATCTCTTTATATACACTGTGATCAACAGATCGGTAAATTATACATTTTTCTAAGTAATATTGTCAATATCTCATTTACATAAGTTGTTAAAGAGAAAAATTGTCTTCTGAAAAGAAAAAAAACATTTTTCTTGCTACAAAAGTTAGGAGATAACAAAATAAAGAACATATGAGGAGGCATGGATAAAAAAAGGTAAGGAACATCGAGAACACTTCGATATTCCCATTTTGCTAATCAATTGATCGCTAATATAATTCGAGCCGGTGAAATATTCAAATGTTATTGAAATATGGCCTTAAACTAATTATAGCTGTGTAAATTTTTCTATCTAGGTCAATTCCTTTATGTTCTAACCTCCTTCTTCCACCACATAAAATTTTCTTCTGTGCAAATCGATAGTCATTTTCTTGTGCTAATTATTTAGATGTAAAATATACATAAGTATGTGAGGTCAGTACCATATTGCCCGCTGCAAATATAATTTATAACAATATTAGGACCTACAGTGAACTCACTGGAAAAGACACTAGTTTAAGGCACGATCATAATAGTTTTTTTTTTCCTGCTCATGATAGAAAAAGAAAAAACAATCTGGGTAAAAAAGATATGAAAATTAATTTGACTTATTTGTAGAAAGTATGATGATGATATCATTAGCGTTCCTTACGTAACATGATAAAACAATAGACTACGAGATCGCAAAAAACGCAAAACAGGCGATGCCTGACATGATAGAAGGAATACAATTTTTATCAAAAAATCTGCTGAATAAAATGTTCACAAAAAATACGGTGCAACAATACGATCCGGTTTTTCACGTTCGTTATCACTGGCCTCATCGAAATATTTTACTTGACGTTCATTCGAATTTATCTGAAGAATTGCTGCTTCATTCCCACAACGATAACAATAATTTGGTGCTGAAAAGCAGAATTTTCCATCACATAGTCAGAGTATTACTATGCAACTGCAACAATATAAAACAACATTTGATCTTTTTTAAAAAATTAGACGCATCTAATACTAATCTTTTAAATGCAATTGCAGCAAACGCGGTAATAGAATCTGATTATATTTTCCATTTTTTTTATTTCATTTCTATTTTTCTACATGTTTGGAAATAATCATCAGCGATTCTTATACACCATGAATATGATAATTCTGGCAACAAATAACCACGTCAAAATGAAATGAGAACTTTATGTTTAAAAGTAAAAATAGCTGAAATCGTATAAACATAACAACACGTGCTAGAAAAACACAAGAAAAAAATGAAGATATTACCGGACCACACGGTGCATAGTATATCATCCCAGATATATTTGAAACCCTCCAGTACCAACTGATGAGATCGGCATATTAACGTAAGATCATTGGTATGCATGAAACGTTTCGTTACTTCTTGACCAAAAAGCTATAAATAATCCACTACAGAATAAGCAAGAAACCAGTTCATTAGGCCTCATAATTAAAACTCCATAAAATGAAGATAAAATTTAACAAATTTTATAAAAAATTATAAAATAACTAACCCAACCAGCACCTCTTGGACTTAGTTCCCACCCTTCTTCCGTTGGTTCCGGATCAGACCATACCAAATCACATAAAGCACCTTTGCTTGGAATTTCAACAGCTCTAAAACGAGCTGCATATAACAAAGAGTTTATAACACTTTTGGTTTATTTCGATCTTTAAATCAAAACACTATCTCAGAATCCAAAAAAAATCTGAAGTATAAAAACGCGTCAATATTTGCTCTTAAGATATAATATATTAAATACCTGTCCAAAGTAAACATTTTTTCAAGAGTTTTGATCTCCGGTGACAATCCACCATGAATGCACAAAATATGGTCATCAATTAGGGCACCAACAGGTAACATATCAAATACCTAAAAATTCTGACGATTCCGAGATTGTTTTATGACAGTTTCTACCACTTATTCCATCGATTAAATTTCGATTTCTAGTATTCTAACCTTACAACAGCAACGCCAAACCATGGCATGCCCATATTTTTGTATACATTCATCATAAAATCCATAAACAGCCGAAATGCGTCGAGATTCATGGTTTCCTCGCAAAAGTGTTATTGATTCTGGATATCTTAGCATTAATGAGAACAAATACGTTAGAGTTTCCAAGCTATAATATCCTCTGAAAAATTATCAGACTTCTAATAACAGCAATTAGTGATAAGCAAAATAATAAGCTTCAGTCCGAACTTTAAGAGCAATAAATTATATTTAATTTCAAGTTTGCAAAAAAGGAAACAAACCTATCAACGTAATCGCCCATGAAAACATATCTTGTGGATGGCACACGACCACCTGTTTCGAACAATTTCAATAAGTCATAAAACTGTCCATGTATATCACCACAAACGGTCACTGGTGAAGTTATTTCAACGACATTCGATTCATGCGATAAACGAGTAACCAACCTGAATGCAGAATTAACACAATCATAAAAATAATTGACGATTACTTCGTTGACCAAATGACGATTGGATTATAGAATTTAAAGTACACAATATGAGTGAATGACATAGCTAAAAAAAAACAACAGCTGTGCGGATTATTATTACCTCCAATCTAATATTTGAGCAAGAGTTAAAAGTCATATTGTTTTACTTAAACTAGAAATTCAATTCCTAGTACTAAGATTTGATAAATTTAGTCCCAAAAATACTAAGGAAATTTACATATTACACAGTAGAATCATCTCGTCTTCCGGTAAATACTGACACTTCGAACTTTCTTCCACCCATCTGTCAGCATCAATGGTTAACCCTCGATAATGTAATTGACATTGCGCTTCATCACTGTCACCAGCTCCTTGTTGCCCTTCTTCTGCTTTAGTCATAATCTGAAAATTCTCCCGAGAAATTTTATTTAATACTTTCAAAATCAGGAAAAATAGTTCGTGAAATATATTTAGCATGTTATATTGATACTTGCAGGTCAGCTTTTTTCATTGATTGTACAACTTTGTTTTATTCCACAGAATTTATGATCATTGAGAGGCTTCAAGCATGAACTTTTTAATAAGAAAAATTATTTTTTAGGAAAAAAATCTACAGAACTGACGAACCTTCTGGCGTTCACCTCTGCATGCTTTTCGAAACTTACTACTGCGTAAAAACCTATTCTTCTTTTTCTTGAATGGATTCATTTTCTTGCACAAACCTACTTACAAGCTACAGGAAAATACCGATGGACTAGAAACTGATAAAACAATCAAACTATTCTGACGAATTTCACTAACTAATCATGCGATACAACCTTTTAGTTTTCCACTCCACCTTTTGACACAGCTCCAGCACTCCTCCTACTATTACTCTACTTGAACACTGGACTAATGTAGATCATATCTATGAATATATGTTTGATAGAAAAAAAATTCTAGAACCTACCATACCATATACAATAATTTCCTTTCTCCTTCCCCTCAAGAATGATGTCTTTATACTGATGCTAAGATCCAAACCTGAACATGACCTGTTGCAGAGATCCAGATAAGATCACATGGAATCTTAATCTTGGAAATAAGAAGCGCATAAGACGAGATGAAGATGAAAGGACGCACTTGCGGGTCCTTTCAAAAGGCGAAATTTCATAATTTGATGGATTCAAAACACCTGTCATTTCAAAAAACCGCCAAAACATTATTCATCCGCATCTTGGAAGTTATATGTTTAAAAAAAATAATGTAAGTGTATTGCTTAACAATATTCCTATACGATGGCAACAAAAATTTAAAATTTTAGTACAATAAATCATTTACTACTTTTTCATATTCGAAGTAAAGCATTTAAGTAATTTAACAGGAAATGAACAATATTATTATGAAAGAGAATGATTTTACGCCAGCAAATAGACAAAGTACAAAAAAATCATGGACAAAATGTAACAACAATAATAAAAATAACATAAAGTATCACTTTTTCTTCACTGGATATTCACGGGAAAAAAAGTATTTGTTTCCTCTATCGTATATTTTTGGTACAATTCAATGCTTTAATGGGTAAAAATACAATACTAACAAGTGAAACAATTATAAAACGCACTACTAATCACAATTACTGTACAACACCCACTTTTGCTGCACGAATAGGCCGATTTTCTAAAGCGTAACCTATTTTTATTACTTGTGCTACGCATCCAGACTCGAATTTTGTCTGAAATAAAGCCTTCAAACCATTGATTGTGACTTAAAAATAGCTTTTTGATACAGATGCAAAATATCTTCTTTTTGATATATGACTTGCAGAGGACAATGGATAATACAAAATAACAAAAATCCTTTAGAACTTTTTGAAAAGAAAATTGGAATTGAAATCTAAAAAACACGAAAGTGGGACCAGTCTTCAAAAATTTCAATGTTCAACAACAGAGAGCAAAAATTTCTCAAAGCGTTATAGCAAATTTTTTTTGGCATGAAAGAATGACTTACTTTATCTTTTGGTATTTGAAAAACAGCTTCGTGCAATGTAGGATCGAATTTTTCACCCTCTGGAGAAATTTGTTTCAATCCATGCTTAACGAATGTTTTCTGCAACACTGTTCTCGTCATTTCCAGTCCTTCGAATAAATTTTTTAAAGAAGTATTATTATCCAATTCTTCTTTCTTTACTGCGGCCACCGCGAGATCAAGAATATCTGCTACCTGAAAAAAATTATGATTTTCTAGTATAACAAGCAAATTTTCTTTCTGAAAAGATCAAAGAAATGAATGGAACAGCGCAAACCTCAAGTAAATCTTTGCAAAATCCTTGGATAGCAAATACTTTCGCTTCTTCTGTTTGCTTTTGTCCACGACGACGAACATTTTCGACTTCAGCTAATGCTCGAGTGTATTTATCCTCAAAATTTTATTATATTACATCTCAGTAAAACCTTCGCATACCCTCAAATTTGCAAAAAAAAAACAAAAAAAAGTGAGCTAATTTCATGTTTTATTGTTAAATAAAAAAGTAAAACAGTATAACAAGATGTAAAAAGTGAAAAGAAAAACTGCTGAATCAATCTTCTAAAAATTGTAATCTAATCTCAGAAACATGACAAGTCAGACTTTTAATGGTAAACCATAAAATTTGCAGACTTGACATACAAAAATGCTTCTACTCAACCTACCACAACTTTGATAACCTCTTTCGTTCTTCTATTCTATTGTAAGTTATAAAACTAACGATGTTATCAACAAACAATCCGACAAATATTTACCTTGAAAGTAGCTACTTCTTCTAACAATATATCATATTCAGTAGCGAGAGCATCAAACGCAGGTCGAGGTATCACAAAGTCTTCTTCAGTTTCTGAGGCGCCAATCGATTCTTTTACTTTTGTGAGAAATCCAGCACCTAAATTGCAGTTTCTTTTCACTCACTGTAATTTTTCATTTAAATCAATTTTTTCTCGAAATTTGAAATCCCCTCGAAAATAACACAAGCAACAGAGGAATATATCAGTTATTCAGACCTATTTCTTTCTAGAGGGATGAAAACATAAACTTCTCTTTAGATAAATAAACGATTATATTCATCCTGCGAATCGTCAATCGACGCGGTCACTGCTTCATGAATTAATTTTGTACAAAGTCGTCTCAAACATCATTTGTCAATCAAAATTGCATGAAAACTCATAGCCGAATTAAAAAATAAACAGTACTTGTTAATCTTGTATTTTTATCTTTTAAGGAGAAACTCGATGTTTCGTTCGCTCCTTCTTTTTGCACAGCTGCACTAAATGAAAAACGTGTTGTTGAAGTCAGGAAATTATTCCTAAGCAACAATCTGAAATAAAATCATGATCACAAGAAATTTGACATTATTAAACTATTTTTTATGGTACCATTTTTTTTTTTATGTTTCTGATAATTTTAATGCAAAACAAACGCGTAAATAAAGTTCTTCAAAAACAAGAAAAAAAGAAATTTCTCACTAGAATACTGTAAAATACAAGGTAGAAATAATTCCCACATTTTACAATATCCTCCTATTTCTCTATCTCTGAAGCTGAACTAATATTACTGCTTACTTCTATGCATGTCACAGAACAGTACAGAATGGAAGGGAAAATACCTTCCAACAGTTGATGACGGTTTGCTCGCAGATAAAGTGGACGGTATAATTATTCATTAATGATATATCATATAAGAAATGCAAATGTATACATTTTCAATACAGTTAACAAATTAAAAATGCAACCTTTTATTAGATTGTGTTACTGTTCGTGCTTCTACTCTAACTACACGTATGGTACTGAGCAACGTGAGACACGTACGTCTGATCATAATCGTTTCAAGTTGTACGAATGTTTCTCTTCTGTTATATGAAACTTGCAATTATTACTGGTTGTAGTGGATCAACAAAGATCAAAACATTCCCACGAATAACCGATTTCAACACAATCTCCCCCCTCCCCCGCACTTCAAGAGGTCATCCCGAAGGAGCAGGAATGACAGAATCAGAAATCAATGCTTCCTGCTGCCCAGGTGCTATCGATCATTCAGGTTGCATTAGACAATACGGTCTCGCAATGATTACGACATTTCTCTTGATCTTTTTCATTTTTTTTCTTTCGTCCCCCTCTCTCTTTCTCTCCTCTTTCTCTCCAATCCATATATTTCTTCTTGCGCGCGACGCATGCGACTTTTTATTAACGAGATAGTTGTTCGATACAGTGGTGCCTCCCTTTAATTACTGTACTTTGAATTCACGTTACGTACGTGTTTATCCAATAAAGTATATCTTCAGTAATAACAATGCTTTTAGATGCAGTTTTAGGTGCAATATTAGTAAGCGGCAATGTTGTAATTCAATTAAAAATGTTACTTCAACGAGCTAAAAAATCAATCTGGCAAAATTCGATACGTTTTTTACGTAACAACAAAAAATGGTTACCGAAGCCGGAGCCGGAAACATTTGAAAGTAAATTTGATTGAGTGAAATTTAATAAAGGAATGTTTAGATTATTGCATGGCTAATGTGAATTTAACGATAGTAATCTCAAAAGACTCATTACAGTCAAAACAGACTATCAGAGTATTTATTTTATTGAGACTGCGGTGTCTGTTGAAACGAAAGTGGACATTATCATTTCAGATGTTGTTTTCCCACCAAACGGAGAGTACAAATTGCCAGCAATGCCTGAGGAACCGGTTTATGATCCCGCATTAGGTGAACAAAAATTTAAGTCATCAAAACAGCTCGTCAGTATCCGTGGTGTCGAGGAAGTACATACAGAATTAATCCACAAACAATACGGTCTCGCTGCTGTTGCTGGCGGTTTTATCAGCTCATATGATTTCAATTTTATTCATGTAAAATCGTACAATTTTCTGTTATTTTCTAGCCAGGAACTAACTGTATCAATTAGTTTTCTTTATCAGTTACTTTCACAAAAGAAATTGTTATTGGCTTAATATTCTTGTATTCTCGAAAAGTAATGTGATTGATTTAACTTTTGAAATTTATTTATTTGTAGTACCGTTTGAACAGAAATCTTTTAAAAAATCAATTCGCAATATGGAGAGTTCCGGCACCGTGGCTTCCACGTACGAAGAAGCCAATTGGAGCAAAACCGGGTAGTGGTAAGGGAAATATACACCATTATGTTACACCTGTTCGAGCAAAGAGAATTATTTTGGAAGTCGGTGGTCACATTTTAGAATTGGAAGTATGTTTAAAATGAATTCATACTTACATTAAATAAGTATTGGAAAAATGATCTTTTTCTCCTTACTATCATTGATGTCTATATCTCCTCCTGTGTTAGCAAATAATATAAAAATTAAATCGACAGTTAAGAGATTAGGGTCAACTATTTTTAGAACTGTGCTATTTTTGTAGTTTATCCTCCAGTTTTATTTTTGAATAATTCGTTATCCTCAAATTGCTGTTTTCTTTTTATTAAAATGAAAGTTTCAGTTGCTAAACAGTGTGCAATAATGGAGTGAGATATAGCATTTAATTTTATTGTTACTAATGGTAAATCATATTTTTAACTCATTAATAGTTATAAGTTTTACCCAGTCAACTTCATACCCGATTAATGCTGCACTTCAGGCGAGGGCTTATCTGATGTATCTCTGCGAACGGTTTCGTTTTCCTGTGGAATTTGTTAGCGAAAAAATATTGGAAGAGAGGAAGCTTCAAGAGAAAAATATTGAAGAAACAAATGTTAATAAATTTAACTGGGATTTAGCCTTGAAATATAATATGCAAAACTGCCGCAGGTGGCTATCATATTATGATATCGCTTTCAAATGTAAATATACATAGCATTTATAAAGATTTTATATTTCGGTATTTCGAGAAATTGAATTCAAGACTGCTGAAACTAAAAAGATATACCGTTAATTTTTTTTGAAAATAACATCCTAGCGAAATTTAGAGTTAGACGTAATCATATATCATCGATTGTTTTTTCACTAGTTCTCCTGGTATTTGTGATTGTTGTGTTTGTATATTTTGTCGATAAAATATTTTCTCAATGTGTGGTAAGAAAGTTCGTTTGTTTTATTATCAGAGACATACTTGTGTAAAAAAATTGTAATTTGCAGTGAATTTAAAAAGATGTACAGGTAATACTGTTATAGAAATTTTGTATTATTGTCCAACAATCGAAATTATATTTATTATTTTAAAAATTGATAAATTTTCTAATTTAGAATAATGGATCTCAAATGGCATTAGTGGGTGAGGAGGAATTGCTGTGTTTTCCATTCCGATGGTTTGTTCTCGTTACAGCAGGTTTACCTTTCACTGCCTTATTTCTTTGCATATCATTAGCATTAGCATTACATTTGGATGAATCTACACGAACTCATTGCGGTGTTGTAAATTATTTGCCATCTATATCGGCTGCTGTCGGATCTTTCTCACCAGAGCGCTACATTTGGCGATTTTTTATCGCTTTGCATTCCGCACCTCGTATTGTGGAGGCTTTCGCTTTTAAGTAAGTTTCCTTGTTTGCTGTTATGTTCCATTCATTTCCGTGATAAACATTTACTAATTTATTATTTACATTATCTGATTTTATTTTTTTTTCATCAACAGAAATCTACTGTTAACATCTCCGCTGCGACCGTTAAGTGACCGTATATGGTTCGAATTAGCTTGTCAAATAGCATGCTTTGTAAATATCTCTGAAAGTTTATTTCTTCTTTTGTTAACTTCTGCTTCATCCACCGAAAATCATGGTACGGTTTTGCTTTTATTTCGTTGATTTGCTTTTATTTTGTTTGAGTTATTAAATACAATGCAGGATAGTCATTTCAAGTAAATATGAATCGAATCCTTGTTTCAGCTATGCATAAAATATCGTTTCTCGGATTTGCTCTCTGTTCAGTAATTTATATGTTGATTGCGACGAGCTTGTTTCAGTATTCTGGTAGACGTCGTACATCATCATTAGTTAGTTTTTTTCTTTTTTTCCATTCTTTTTTTATAAATTCTAATGATGAAAAATTTGATCCCACAGTAGTCCAGTAAATCAGTCATATTTGAAGACATTGTTATTGCAGGAGAATTCTCCTCAATTATTGTATTATATCTGATTATCCAGTTTTCATTAATGATATTGATGTTTCTTAATTTTTCTTATTTGATCAGGGCGAGAAATCATTCCAATACAAGGTCCTTATGTGTTCCATATCGACGTTATCACTTCTGTTTGCCGTATATTTCTTCAAGCGTCATAACGCATATTGCGAGCCTGGAATATATACATTGTTTGCTATTTCTGAATATGTTGTTGTACTGTCTAATGTATTTTTTCACTGTACCTTACTTTTTGATTTTCGTGGGAAATATTTTATTTTGACTTCATCTGGTTCCAACTTTCATTATCAGCCTTTATTGCCAGAATTTAATGCTAGTAAACGTTCCGCTTAATCACAGAATGTTTGAAAAATCTTAAGTTAAATTTTCTTTTTGTTAGAATTTTATAAAATTTTAAAAAAACATATCGTAAAGTTTTCATATTGTTATTACTATATTTACATTTTTTATAGGTTTTATCAGTTCTCCTGTGATATCTATAATATGGATTGCCTACAGAGTTCATTATTGTGATATTTTCTGTTTGATAAACATTGTTAATTTTTTTTCCTTTTTAAATAGTTTTATTGGAGGTATTCATACGATGACTTTGATTCAAAGCATATCTATAACTTTTTCATGTAAATTTTTAGTCTTCACTTAGTAGATTCTCAATATAATTTATTTTCTAGTTTCAGATAACATCACTGTCATGGTGTTTTTCAGTTGCGACAGATGTAGTGAAGCACTGAAGAAAAATCAAATTGACAAGCATGGATTCATATGCAGGTAGGTTAACTTTTTTAATGTGAGTGGTTGCTTGCCTGTTCGTTTTGTGAATTACAAATTACATTTAATAGTTTTTCTTAGTATTATAACTGAGATATTTTATGGAAAATATTTAGTGTCATATTAATGGGACATTTTCTTATTATGAAAATCAGTGTGTAAAAATTACCAAGTGTTTCTATTATCCTCAGACGTGGTGGTTTTAAAAAAATATAGTTGTACTTTAATTACAGCAAACAATAAGTACAATTTCTTGAAAATAATACACGATGACTGATATTATTTAGGTTAGAGCGAGCTGTAAGAATAAAAGAGTAGGTTTCTTCTCACAGTGAAAAGTAGAGACTTAGAAAGGACACCATGACCACATAATATTTTCTGATTTTAAAAAGATTGTGTCTCTTTTATAATCACGAAATAGCGTTTGGTAAAGCATCTATCAATAATCAGTTTTACAGAAATTAGATTTTTTTTAAAGAAATGTTTTAGGAATACAACGTATTCATGCTTGGATTGTGGTCAAGCTTTTTCTATAGAAACCTATAAGAACCATATTAAATGTGTGACAGAAAATAAGAAGTATGGTGGCAAGAATTATGTTGAAAAAGAAAACAAAGTAAGTTTTTTAGTTCTCACATTTTAATAATGCTTCATGGCGTTTTAAAATTTTCTAAGGGATTCGGGATGGTGATTTCTTAATTCACATATATTATAGGGTGAAGCAAAGCAAAATCGATGGATTGAACAAGTAGAACGGGCAATAGAAAATGTTACTGATAAAGGATTGAAAGATCTTTTGCAACAAATTCATGGTTTCAACAATATACCAAGAAAAGAAGCGAAATTCATTAATTTTTTGCAGAATTCTATTAAAATTCGGAATCGAGATCTATGTGTTAAGGTTAAAGCATTTGAAGATTGATTGTGGTCGACTCCAAAAAGAAAATTGATAAATTCGCCGTGATTGCTCTATTTTTTCGTTTTTGTAGAAATTATTTTAACTAAGCAGTTTTTCAATAATGTATAATTCAGGCATGGAACTGTATAAGTGAGCAAGCCCAAAAATTACAGCGAGAGACTGAAAAAGTAGAACTGAAAAAAAATGGTGAAAGTTGTAATAGTCTGGATGACAAAAAGGGACTTAAGTTTAAACAAGAAGTTTCAAAAACTAACGGTGAGAAAGTCGAAGAAATCGATACTGAGAAAGAATTAAAGAAAAATGGTATAAATGATGATAGCAGTAATGCCGAACAGGTATGCAGCATCGAATAATCATTCATTTGTAAGAGGACATATTGCGTAATTGTGTCGAATTTAATTGTTTCTTTGCCATGATTTACCATAATTCATACAAGTTTTCCATTTAATTTAGAATGCACAAAGAAATAAGAAGCTAAAATTAACGAATATAGGGAATATTAACGTGCAATATGAAGAAGTTCAAATGGAAACGAGCAATTAAGCGAGCTTTAAAGGAAGCAGAAAATGGACAGATGAAGGTGAAGCGATTAAGGACCAAAGTTATTCAAAGTTATTTGGCAAGTGGTCAGTTTAATGGAAATGAAAATCCCGAGATAATTTTTAATGATAAGTTATTTTCTTTAGGTTTACATATTGATAATAAAACAGTGCGATTAAATTAATTATCAATTCTTGTTGTTATAATTGTCTTTATTATTATTGCATTTACGGGCTTCTTACAGAAAAATTCTTTCTTTATTTAAGTTGCTATTAAGAAATATGGAATTTACTATTTTCGTTAAATGTGCCACTATTGATGAATCTAAACTAATTCAGATGTTGAAAATCGATTGCATTTAAATTAAGTATCACGATTCTGGTAGCAGATTTCGTGTTAGTTTTATCGAAATCTTGAATAATCATTATTTTTCCGCTGGCTATAATTGTCATTCATTCACATTCGTAATGGAAAGAGTGCATGACGTTTGTTGTAGTTTTTGTTCCATGTTATCATTCTATGTCATAACTTTATTCGTTACATAAGAGAAAAAAATTTTTAATGCATAAGGGCATACATGTCTATAGAAATCGTGGCTTAGGCATCTTTAATGTTAATCTCGCAAAATCAGATGTCTGACGTTTTTCATATCAAAATAATAGCGCTAATACTATTAGGATTAAATATTAGCTACTTTAATTATTATAATGCAATATCTATCCTCTACGTGATACATATACTTAGGCAACGTTTTAATCTTTGTAATTAGAATCCTGCAACAACTTGTAATTAAGATGGGAAATATTTCTTTGTATCTTTTTCCATGATGCATATTGTGATCTCTTTATTGTTACGCGATCATATAGCTTTTCTGAAGAAGTAATAAATTTTCTAACTTATTTTTCTCAAAAAATTGTGATTTTTTGGTTCTAGCGGTATTTCTACTGTTATTTTTTTGGGTCAGTGAATGGCTGCTAGTAAAATATAATCATTGGTAGTTTGATATTTTCATTATTTTCGGATAAATCGTGAGAAAATACATATAGGAAATATTGCTTGCAAGTTTTCATTTTAGATCTTGGACGATTTTCTGAGACAGCTCAGTTCCGGAAGGTATACTCTAAGCGTTTAAATTTTCACCTGTATGATCATTTCTTTTTCTTTTTTCTGTTCCCTTTCATTGCATAACATGAATTCTCAATCGTTTACAGTATAATAAATTATTATAGGATCATGGATGCTTTGATTTACAATCATTTTGGGGTGTGGAATGAAGACATCGAAACTGCGGAACCGATTCAGGAATGGTGTTGTAATGATTGTAACGAACCTATCGCATCATCTCTTTTTGCTTCGTGCTTACGACATTTCGCATTAAGACACGAAGAGGCTACTGGTTTGCCAAATGCTATGATTCAAAAAATTGAAATGTTAAGACATGATATGAACATTGTCGCAAAAATGCATCAAGCACATGTCATATTCAAATATTCTTGGATTGGCGTTGGAAAGTATGGCAATATCGATTGGCCTAGGACGTATGCAAAGTGCTACCGCGAAATGCCACCGGACGATTTTTTCGTATTTGCGGCAATTAATGGAATTGCTACGAGGGTAAGTGGTCACATTAAAGTTGTATCGGTCATGTTTACTTTCACTAATCGATATGCCTAATCGTGACTTAGCTGATTTATTATATAAGCACCTTACATTGTGAATTATTTTTCTCGTTTGGACTTAAAAGTGGTAAGATTGTTGTGAAATTATTTTCTTTTGTTCAAATTAAAATAACAGTTGGCAAAAAATTTTCCTTATGGATTTGGCAAATGAAGAGAATAAACACGGATGATGGGGGATAAGGGTTTGAACGGATGTAAAAGAAATTTTGAAATCTTCTGTGATTAATGCCGCAACAGATATTATGAATTACTTATTAAGCAGATTATAATACGCATTTGATGAAATAGCGACAATTAAAGATAAAGATAAACTAACGCAGACTCAGTTTCTCTTTTGAAATATTTGATTGTTTTAATTTAGTTTCTCCTTCCCTCTCATTCTTCTGTTATTTAATTATGTTTCATAATGGGCGTCGATTACCCCAAAATAGTTTAAACTGCTGAATTTAAAGTAACGGTAAATAATCTGAAACAAATTTCGTTGAAAGTTCTGTCGAACTAATTTAATTAGTTAGTTGTTATGTGGGTAAGATGGGTGGCAACAATTGTATATTGTTGAAATATAATGGCTGTATAAATTCTTGGAGAGTTTAAATTTATTGAAAAGACTTTGAAGATCGATTGTTTGGAATTTATGAATAACTGCATTTTTTCAAATAAGCATTAGAAAAATTGACGATGTGTGAATCAATTGTTTGATTGGTTAGTGTTTGAGATAGCACCTTCAGGCATATTTTCACAGTTATCATTCCTTTGCAAAAAAAGCATTCATCTAAATCTAATTAACATAAACAGAGCATATTATGGATGTTTTCATTTTCCTTTGTTTCTGTTTTTTTTTCCTCCACTTTTCTAATTAATTTGCATTGCTGCCAATCTTACATCATATTTTAATTGGTCGTATTATTTTCACTTTTATATCTTAGATGCATACATTCAATTTAAATTGAACATTTGAGTGTATGCATGTATGTGTGTCAAAATCATCAAATTATATTCTGTTGTCATCCCATTTCCTCAGTGTTGAATAGCAAACACACACACACACACTCAAATGTTCAATTTGAATTGTGGAAATTTATAGTAACAAAAAGGCTCATGTGGTATTTATTATTGGAAGCTATCTTCTAATTGATCATATCGTTACCAGTTTTATGTTTATGCCTAAGATATAAAAGTGAAATAATACTACCAATTAAAAAACACAATATAATTGAAAACAATGCAAAAAAGAGATAATAATTTATAATCTGATGGTTTTTAAGGCTCAAGGTTAGTACAAGTTACGAAATTTTTTCTCTAAACTGTCGATTTGGTACAAAATCTCATCTCTTGTGAAGTGATGATTTATACATTTTTTTCGACTGTAACTTTCTCTTTTAAATTTCGTAAAAAATTAGAAACATTTCAAAATGCTTGGATTTTTCTGAAGTTGGAATAGAGTTAAAGATTAGAGCATAATTTCTATTGAAACAGTATTATTGGATTTGCTGTTTGGTTTACTTGAACGATTTATAACTTCAAACAATTTTAAAGACTGATAAATTTCATCATGATGGCGTACTTAGATGATATTTGTAGCGGAAAGATTGAATGTTCAAAATATAGAATTACATATAAGTAATTTGATAAAATTAGTTTTTCGTTTTGTATATTTTGAAATATATCTGACGATAATGAATTAATATTAAAGGAATCAAGTTAACTTCTTAGATATAAAGATGTTAAATTTTCATAAATTCAGATAATTTTTAGTAATTTATTGACAAATATTAGTACATTTTATTATAGGCTTTGTGGAGTCGATTGGATGAATCAGAGAGGCGGTATTTATCAAATGCAGATAATGATGTGATAAGATACACTGCAATTTTAATGTTTAATCCTGCGGTTTTTAATATAGTTCAATGTAAAAGTATTCTGGTCGCAGCGGAGAACGGTTGGCCGGGTGCAGTATGTGCTTGGATTGGCATACAAAATAATACGCTAAATAATGTTGATTATGTAAAAGAAATAACCGAAGATTTCAAAGATTCTATCGTTGAGACATCTGATTTACCATATGAGAATAATTCTGGAAAAGCTACGCTGCTAGCTATTCGTGAGGGACAGTATCATTTGTTTCGTTATTTACCAAACGTGAACACTGCTAACAGTTTTGACTTTTTATTTGCGGATGGTCACGTATCGTTCGACTTTTTCCAACAATTAACTAATTTTCCAGCAATTGAAAATCTGTTAAACGATAAGCTAAGTGATTATCTAGAATCGATCGCACGAGATTTACTTATTTGGATGCCAGATTCAGAAGTTCAACGTTTGCGACAAGAGGCAAATGCAGTTGGAGATATTAAATCTATAAATTGCATTAATCGAATCATAAATAAGTATGATGAGAAATTTGAATGTCTTCTCAAATATATTTATAAATATTGTTAACAAATTCCTATTGATCAATTAATTATTCATGTAAATAAGAAATACATTTTAATTTACATCATTTATTATCGAATACATTTTGGAAGCATTTTGGTGCAACTGGTTGTAGTGTCAAAGTTCAAGAGAAATCCATATTGATTAGGCTAACATAAAGCTATCGACAATGCATTTGCTAAAGTATATATGTATGTGTATATCTCTGTGATGTCTGTGTGAAGCGTTGGATTTTGAAGCTGTCATCATAGCGCGCAACAAACGCAGTATGCAAAAAGCTTGCGCTCAATCAATCTAATGGATGCATGCGATGCGGTTGTTACTTCTCTCGATATTCTATTAACAAGAATGGTCTATGGTTATTGAAATTGAAATTGCTATTTTATGATGATAGTATATTATTACTGATTTGTGGTTTATAATTCGCAACAAGTATTGATTTCATGCGATAATCATTTTCAATCAGCAAATATGATGACACGATCAGCAACATGTTTGTTCCTAATTTCCTTTTTTTTTCATTCATTTTTTTGCTTAACTTAATTACTAATTAATGGAGAAGGAAAAAAAAGATAGGGAGAATGTTTGTGCCTCGTTTTACTCAATTTCAAAAGTAAAATGTTGTTGTTGTTGTTGTTGTTGTTATTGTTATTGTTGTTATTGTTGTTGTGAGAATGATGGAGATATTGGACTAATGAAAAGATGCTGAAGAAATGATTCATTTTTGTAGCTGCTTATATCACTATATATGAAAACAGTAAGAAAAACATTGAAGAACGCGAGGAAAAAATGAAAAGGTTGCTAAAAAAAATCTATCGTTTGACGGTAGGGACGTATGGTTGGGACATCCCATATATAGTCATAAATGTTTTTATATTTTGTAGTATATATATAGAGTAAAATATTTAAACTGATAAATTACCTATAGACAGATGATACATAAGTATATATAAATAGGAAATGGGCAATGTAACTGCAGATGAAGGCGTGGTCGTAATTGGCAGATGACGAGGGACTCCGCCTTGTTTATTTGCTGGAGTAAAAAAGGATGTGTCTTCCCGGTATTCCTTTACATACACCTGATCCAGCTTTCCGATAAGTCTCTAAGCTTAACGGCTTATTTAATCTATTTTATGGTCATCATCGGTCATTTTCTATCTGTTTAATGTCAAATTATGGCTTACCTGTTGAAATACTATACCTGTTAGTTAACAAAATTTGTTTCTCACAATATCATCTTATTATGCATTAATGCTCATAACAAATAAGTAAAAAAAAAGTTACAAAAAAAAAAACAATGCGGTATATTTGATGGATTTAATTGAATCGAAATTTTGTGGAAGAAATGAGTAATGGTGACGGAGTTTTTTTTTTTTTTTTGCTTCATAAATTTCATAAATTCAGTTTACGAAGAAGAGGAGATTATGCAATTTATAAGAGAGATTGATTATAAAAGAAGAAAGAGATTTAACTAATTTTTTTCAAGAAACAGTATAATGCAATACAATTTATCGATTATAGTTTGTTGAATTTTGATATATTTTTAGCTGAAATATTTGATTTATTTGTTATATAATACACATATATATTACAAATATAACTGGATTATAATATATGTATGTAAAATAACTAAATATTTCAAAAATTCTAATTGCAATAAAAATATTACTAATTAATACAAATGCTCTTTAAATTATTACATATTACTATGCTTAAGATTATTAAATTTTCAAAAGATTTAGTAAAAATATTTGCATGTATTTCACTAAAATATTTCAAATTTGAAAATTACAATCATGAAAATATTTGCATATCATTTAGTAATAATAGTGATTTCAAGTTGCATCATACCGTGAAACAATTTTTATGAAATTTCGATTCAAAAGTTGAAGTGTAATAAGGAAAAAGAAGAGAGATAAATTTTGAAACTCTTCGTCAAGAATTTGGATTATTTGATCTCCTCCTTTTTTCATTTCACTGGCAAATAAATTTTTACCAAAAACTATCATTACAAAAAATAATTGATTGCTGAACTAATTAATAATTGAAAATTATAATATCTAATAAAATGAATGAAAAGATAAATTTTTTTTTCAGTCTCGGCAAAAATTCGTACTTTGAGTGAATTTCACAGTCGTATAGCATGTAATCAACAACCACCCAGCGCTGCTGAAATATTGACAACTTTGCGGTATTTTCATCAAACTTTGATAAGGTCTGTTGAATTAACCTTTAAATTTATTCTAAAAGATTTTACAAATTTCAAACAGTAAATTCTCATTTATCAATCATTTGAGTTCAATTTTTATTCCAATGATTAGTTCCCAGCAATTTATTAGTAATTTAGCATTTCATTTTGCTGTATCAAATTTCCTGCCATAATTTCCCGCTCTTCCCATTATTGATTGTTTTATAGCTAATAATTAATCAAGTTTTTTTTGATCCATATGCTTAGCATTGCACAACATCGTTATTAAATGTTTTTACCTTTAATTATAGGAAAATTTTTTTCCTTCATTTTTTTATAATTTATGATTGAAATTTTAATGCTTTAATTTTGCTAATTTTTTTATTTTCTCTAACTGTTAATTTTCTGTTTCTTCTAGTATTATCGTAATTACTCCATTTTTATTTTCATTAATTTTTTTTTTTTTTGCAATATTTTTGGCAGGCAGGTTTTTCAATTTCATTAATTGCTGGTATTAAATTTGATAGCTTTCCATTATTTCAATTGCAATTAGTAATTTTAAATGCTTCCATCCTTTTTATTTTTTCTTCAAAATGTGATTAACATTCTATTCATTCGATTTCATTTTATTTCAAAAAAAAGGAGAGAGAAGGGTAGAAAATAAAATTGATGGTTAGGGAAGAGGGAAAGGATGAAAATTTAGTTCTGCAGAATATTTAATATTTCAGCGTTTTTTTTTTTTTTTGCCAAAATCTTAATTGTGAGATTTCACTTCCAAAATCTGATTTATGACGAAAAATGAGCAAATGAAATTTGAAGTGAAATTCGTGTAATTTGCTTCATATATCCTACAGCTTATACAATATCTAATAGATCTTCTATTTCAAATAAAACTGATTATGAAACTAAGATGTCGAGAATAAACGATAAAGTTATTCTTATCATTTTCTATCTTCTGTTTCTTTTAAGATTATCATTTTTATTGGATTATTATATTAATGTAAAAGTAATGGCAGTCTCAGTTTATAAATTTTTAATCATTACAATTAAGTTTAAATGTTTCTTTATTTAAACAATATACCAATTACGAAGATAAACAAGCGTATCTCTTTAATATACAATAAAATAAATTTTAATGTAAGAAAATAATTTTCCTGAGCATTTTTTCTACATAAAAATTGTCGATCTATTTAAAGAAATCGAAACAAAAAACAAAAAATAAATCATTTAATGTTTCTTTATTTGATGTCATCCTTATAGTGTGAAAATTTTGAATACAAAATGGGCGACAAATAATGTAAAAAAATTTGAAATGACATGTGATATCGTGATTTATTTCAATGATTATATTCAAATATGATAACAACAACATTTAATAATGAAAAAGTTGTAATTTTAAATTTGATTTAAAAAATTTTTTATCATTTTTTTTTGAACAATAATTCGTTTCAATTTACTATTTAACGACCAAGCAGCAAGAAGATATATTAATGAATGTTGACAAGTTAATGTTGTCAATACTATTAGGAGAGGTGAAGAATTTTTATGAATTTGTAAATAAATTAAGCCTTAAAAATGTGAATGAGTTGGCAATTTAGTAATTTGCTTTTTTTATGGTGAAAAAGAAAAATTATTAATAATATTCCAAAAGAATTCGGTTTGAACATTGCAAAGTATTATTTAGAAATATTTCAATCCTTTTAAGTATTTGCTCTTTTTTCGTTTCATTCATTTATTTATTTATTTTCCTTTTTTTTGAATTTATGAAATCTTTGAAAAATTCCCGACTTCAGTAATTTTAGTAATTTTGATCTTTTTATAATATGTACGTGTATGTCAAAATTTAAAAATCTCATTTGATCCTAAATTTCTAAAAAAAAAAGGAGCGGATGAGTTATGTAAGTTGTGTAAAAAGTAGGTGAATTATGTAAAAAGTTTGGAATGATTTTTAATAAAATGTTTATCATATACCTTTGTTTTCAACTTATCAATTTATCCTTAACAGATAGCAATTATCATTGGCAAAATTTTCTGATAAACTTTCTTCACTGTGATATATGCAACAAACGTTTAGTTGAAATATTAAGTGATACCATTAATTAATTATATGATAGGCTTATAGTTCGGGAAAGTTTGCAATAAACAGAAGAAAATTTGGAAATAAAAATAATTATTGTATAATTGAAAGTTGGAAGAAATAAAAAAAATGTAGGAATAAAAAAACGGGAAACAAAAAAAAAAATTAATGCATTAAAATGATAATACAAAGATAAGGGAATGATATTATTGATATGGTTTAAAAATGAAAATTTCTCAAATGATTTCGTTTATACTTCACTAATCTTTAAAATTTCGAAGTGTATAAGATGACTGGTCATATTATCATCCTTTCATTAGTCCTTATTTGCCTATCTCAATAAGAAATAATGTATAACAATGCTCAGTCAAACTTACATAAATAAAATCTAATTTTTTCCCAAAAGTAAACAAATTTTAGTTTTGACAGCAAATATTGAAATACTACTCAAAATTTTAAATCACTTGCAATAAATTATGATTTATTTTAATGTCTTACGTGCAGGGAGTTCGAGAGATTATTTAAAATTTGCTTTAGTGACAGTTTACTCCATCTGGTTGATTCCATTTATTATTTCTCAAAAAGCTTAATGGAAAACGAATAAGCTATGATGATGTACTTATTCTTTGAGAAATTTGCATCTTAAAAACTCCAAAAAATTGAACAGTTGAAGTACTCCATATGAACTTATATTTGAATTTAAAGTTTTTTTTTTGAAAAAAAGGCAAAAAACGGTGAAGGGAAGAAGAAGAAGTAATAATAGAAATAAATTAGGAAATAATTTGAATTTCTGAAAAATGACAAATTTGCACATATAATATTTTAAATTTTATTTTACAGTTTTCCTTCAAATTTCCCGAAAAAAAATTTGAATTTCATGATGATAAAAATACTTAAAAGAAGTATGCGTAATTACAGATTTCTTAAAGAAATGCCACCAGTACCAACAAGTGCCTTCAGGCGTTTTTGTCCAACATTGAATCGAGTAACATTATATCCAAATTTGAATTATTCAGGGCTTTACTATGGAATAATAAATTTGTTGGATGTTTTCCAGCAAATTTCCGCTTCACATCTTGGTAACCTTTATTGTATATGATAAAATAAAATTAAAATTTGAAAGAAGATTTTTGCTGAAAACAATTTTTATGGAAAAATAAAGAAAAAAAAGGGAAATGTTTATTCGTAAATAAATTTAAAAGTTTTTATTTCTATTACAAAAATTTTATAAATAAATTTTAGCTATTGGTGATGCTATTCTTGATACAATCAAGGCGTTATATTTCTTCCTACAGCGTGATATTCTCGAGCAATTACCATTTTTGCTCGCTTCTCAACTTGGTATTTTACCGTCTGAACTTGATAAGAAACTTGTACACCTAATTAGCACCTGTTTCATTCCATTTATTCTTATCCCGAAGCAAGAATGCCTTTCAGTACCAGCTGTTCTTATGATGATACTTCAGCACTCTGCCGATCTCAGTAAGATTTTCTTCTCATCTATCATTTTCTTTTTTTTTTTTTGATAAGCAAATCTGATAACTACGATGGAAGTGTCTACATCCATATATTATTATTATTATCATTATTATCATTGTTATTTATCCATTTATTTATTATTATTATCATTATTATCATTATTATTAATAATTATTACTATTCTTGAATGGAAATGATGAAATTTGTTTAAGAATTAATCATGAAGTCTGAGGAAATTTGAAGAAACAAAAGGTAGAATAAGTTTTGTTTATAATTCTTCTAATTATAAAGATAATATGTTAGCATTTTTCTTACTAAGATTGGTCTAATAATAATTACAAAATTTTTATAAGAAAATTAATGATAATCAAATGGAATGCTCTATTTCCATCTCTTCTACTAAGTAATTGAAAGTGTTTTTCTTTTCATTTTCATTCAGTTTAGGAAATTACGAAAAATGAGGATATTATGCTTCTGCTTACTTTGCTACTTCACAATTTTAATTATACAAAGCAGGAAGAGTGATTTCTGATCTTCAGCTATTTTTAAGTAGATTGAAATGATATATTACTATTACTGCTACTATTATATTTGCTAATAGGCTAATAAATCAATGAAAAGAATGGAATCATTGGTAGAAGAGGACTAATTTATTTTATTAAAAGTTTACTATAAACTTAAGTTTAATTTTAAATGCATATAGTTTACTATATACATTTAAAATTAAACTTCAACTTTATAAAAAAGAGAGAGAAGCAATTATTGATTGATGTCCAAAATTTTGTGCAATTTTTGAAGTACTGGAATTTTAATGATTCTTCTTCAAAAATGAACTGAACAAGATGAATAAAAAGTGAAAGGATGAAAAATTGGAAGAAGCAGTTGAAATCAAAATTTAACAAAAATGAAGAAAAAAAAGCTATCAGATGAATTATATTTCAAGAAGAGGAATAAATGGCATAATATTTTAAAAGTTTTTCATATTGTATGTCAATAATAATTCGTCTAAATTTATTGATAATATAAAAATCGTAAATCTTCAATTGAATTAGCCTTAATTTGGGTGTGTTTTTTCATCAATTTATATTTTAAAAAAATTTCAATCATGCTAAATTTTTTAAAATTTCATTTCTGGCTGTATTTTCAGGTCTCCATACACTTTTTGTCGAAAATCTTTTGGCACAAAAAGAAAATGTTTACAGGGTATAAATGCTTTCTTATCTTCAATTTTTATCAATTTATTTTATCACTTCATTCATTAAATATGTGTTTTTAATTATTCCTTAGCAATACACGCAAATATTTGACGCTAAATTTTACTACAAAACTCTATAACTTTAATCGCATGTATTACACTCTTAAATGTTCTGCATAGGATTCACACGTATTACTTGAAGAGAAATTTTTAAAAAAAAAGTCTGAAATGAAATTTTCCAAAGAATATGTATTCAAAACATTAAAAGTACGATAAAAGATGCAAGGCATGAAATTTTATTTCTAAAGCATAAATTTAATTTCCAAAATGCACTAAAATACTTAATTCATTAATTGGATAAATAAAATAATGGATAAATTTTATAAAATTTTTAATTTTAAAGGATATGATATTGGTATTATCAAAAGGCACAAGCGAAGCTCGCATTGCTGCTGCAAATTTATTATTCCATTATTGGCCTATCCACAATAGGCATATATTACATCGTAAATCAATTCAATATCGCATTCAAGGTAGAGGAATTGAATTTTTGAAAGTTTTTTAAAAATTACACTATTAAAGAGAATAAGGGTGGAAAATTTTTTTGGTCAATCTTATTTCAAAAAAAAAAAAAA